ATCACCGTCACATCATCGAACCCGACACCCCCACCGCCGGTTTCGATTGACTCGTATGACCTTGTTATCCGCCGATTGCAAGAGTCACTCGCTGATGCAAATGAGCGAGGTGCACAGCAGATGAGGTTTGACAAGGGACTTGTTGAGGCTATCTTGATGGCCATGGAGCAACGGCGGATAGAGTACATCGATCTCAAAGCCAAGTATGACGGGACAAAGGTACGCATTGGCCTCTTCCATTCATTAATATACATATCATGAATTAAAAAGACATTAAATTTCTTTTACAGAGGGCGAGTCAGCGGTACATGGATGGTTTAACGGACGCTGAGAAGGAATACGAGCGCGAGCTGGTGGCACGTCAGAATGCTGAGGCGGAGGTCATTCGTCTTCGGGTGCTGCTTTCTGGCCAGGCTGCTAGGCTGACAGCACTGAGTGGTGAGAACAATAGACAGGAAGCACGACGACAGCTCTCACAGGAGCTCAGCAGAAGTCTTGACCAGCTTGAGCGGGACCTCTCCAAGCTGAGAGCTGAGAGAGATGTTACTTTGGCGGAGGTGGAAGAGCTATGCTCATCCAAGAGGTACATAAAAGTCTATTGGCACGATGTTGGTACTGACAGATTCCATTCACAGCTCGCGTAGTGTTTCTGCCTCTGGCGAAATACCTGCGGCCCAGTTGAGTCGATCGCTGACGATGCGCCTGGACAACATCAAATCGCAATACCAACTCGAACTGGTACCCCTCACGCAACAGCGGGAAGCTCTTGCGCGAGAAATAGCCGAATTAAAGGCGGCGCGCGAACAGTGCTTGGAGGAAACGACAGTCCTTAATGCCCGGAACGAGGAGCTTGCACAACTCAGTGCTCAGTATACGCGGCGAATGGAAGCCTCCCGCTCAGAGACGCCAAGTGGGCCTGTTGCACCACCAAAAGGTGACCATTCATTCCGCGAGAAGAAGAGCACGTCCCTTGATCGAACCAGACCACCGCATCCTGAACCTCCGGCTTCCATGCAATTCTCGATAAGTACCGGCTCGGTACCGAGCAGCATAACGCTCGTTGAGGATCGTGATAACAAGATCACGAGGATACCCAAGCCCGAAATTTCGGACACCATGTCGACGCTCAAGCATGGGAAGTTCAAGTGGCCGGGCTCTCGGACAAGGGAGCATTCCCTCGGGTCTTTAGATCCCAACAAGGGCAGAGGACGCGAGCATAACTTTCAGCAAGCGAGCGTCCTGCGGTTCACGCGGTGTGACCATTGTGGAGATAAACTTTGGGGTGGATCACATTTCCGTTGTACCAGTAGGCATTTCTCGTTGAGCTTTTTATCCACTTTTGGAGTTGACTATCCGCCTTTTTAGCTTGTCATATCAATGTGCATTCGCGTTGCGTGAACCAAGTGCACTTGGTCTGCTCGCAACAACTTTCTCGTCCTCGCGAAGAAACCGGGAGTCAACTCGTTCATTTGCGTATGTCTTCAGTCGTTCTTTTGTCGGTTTTACGGTGCTGATCGTCGAGGACAGCTCCTTCGATGTTTGGTCGTGATCTCATTGAGCAGGTTAAATCTGACTCCCGATGGGGTGAACGCAAGGTACCTGTTATCGTAGAGAAGTGTATCGAAGCAGTCGAAAAGATAGGCAAGGGTTATCCCTAGTTCTATAACCCCTTATTGACCATGTTGTAGCCCTCGACTACGAAGGTCTCTACCGCAAGACAGGAGGTTCTGGCCAAACCAAAATCATCACCCAGCTGTTCGAGCGCGGAGACTACGCAGCCTTTGACCTCCGGGATTCTGACCGTTTCAACGATATATGCAGCGTCACCTCTGTGCTGAAGACGTACTTCCGGTCACTTCCCGTGCCTCTGTTGACGTTCGATCTTCATGGAGAGTTTATATCCGCGGCTGGACTTAAGGATCCGGCTCTTAAGACGAAGCACCTTTGCGAGTTGGTCGATCGCCTCCCAAGTGAACATTATCACACTTTGCGCCTTCTTATGTTACATTTGCATCGGTACGCGTGGTATTTTTATCTTTTACATTTTCTTGTTCTAACCCAAGTCACTGAAAGCGTGCGAGAACATAGTGATACCAATTTAATGAACGCTCGTAATCTTGGAGTGGTCTTTGGACGTAAGTCTCGTTCATGAATCATGGTCACGGAGAAGCTCACGAATCGGTCTCAGCGACGCTTATGTGGTCGAGAGACCCAGGGTCCGAGTTCAGCGATATGGCTGGAAAAGCCCTCATGGTCGAGTGGCTCGTAGAGAACGCCGTCTCCATCTTCCAAACGCAACAACAATCGTCACCCCGTTGACGTCCTATCCTTTCCGACATTCCCTGGACATTCTTTTGTCTTATTCTATTGTATTCTCCATATTCGTCGGTTCATTGCTATATTTCATCGAAACTGTGTTTCCGGGGCCCCTTGTTTTTTTTCCATGATGCAATTCTGGGTTGGTGAAAGTATGCGTTGGCTTTACAGAACATCTTTTTTTCATACCCGCGGATGGCTACGTTGGTTTGTTTCGCATGCTGGGGAATCCCTGTCCTTTGCGCATAAGTATTTAACATCCTTCTCCCACTCTTTCCTCCTGTACCGTTAATTCTTATTCAGTCGTGTCTCGCATCTTTCGACATTGTCACGCCTCCTTTCTTTCCAACTGTTTTTTAGCATTCATTATTCACGGATACCCTTGGATACCAAGCAGCCATAGCGGGGTATGTAGAAGTACATAAACTGGAAATACATGCTAAGGCATTGAACGCGAGCGAGCTGGTATGAGGGGGGTATGGATGATGATATCAATGGAGTGTTGTAGGTTAATTGCGAAGGCAGTCCGATCGAGATGCTGAAACTTGAGAGATGAAAGATGACGATTGAGGTTCAGCGGGAAAGATGGTGAGGAGGTATCAGAAGAGCTCTCTTGAGCGGCGTGTACGGGGAGCAGTCTTGTCAGGCTTGAGTGTACAGTAGAGAAAGTGTCGACGCGGGCCAGAGGCGGCGGCTGCAACGGCTGCGACACGGGCTCCAAGGGGTACCGCAGCTACATCGCTGCGTATACCGAGGGAGAACATCCTGTCAAATACTGTTGGGGATGGGAGATGATGAGGCGCTGAGGGGTTTGGAATATTATAGGAACCGCTTACGAGTTGCAGTGAACGCCTTCGCAGTTGTTTGGCAAACGAGATGGGTCAGCGAGAGGGGGGGACTGACGCCTTCGAGGTTGCGGAGGTAACGATAGACCATGGAAGGTTGACATGGGCCTGTGAGGCACGTATCAAAAGACGTCTCACACGAGGGTGGATGACAAGGTCTACTAACCGAAACGGAAGACGGCATTATAGGCCTGCCTCCATTTCTCCTCGAGGAGACGCGCACAGTTCGCTGGGTCAGGACAGGTAGAGCACTGATAGAAGTAGTGAGACATGAGTCCTGACACAATGTCGGCAATGAAACGCACGCATTGGTATTCCTTGGCCAAGGGTGTAAGACCCAGCTTGAGAACACGTTCCAGAAACCAGTTGCGGCTAGGAGGTCACCAAGTCAGAAGAGGTCGCGAATGATGACAAAAGCTGGTCTACCGTTTCTCTAGCTTTAGAAGAGTCTCTTGGCTGAGAGTGCTCAATTCCTGTTCGGACCAACCGCCAGGGTTATCAAGAACGAAACGGCTCGACTCGCGGTAGAGTTCCTCCTCTTCGAAGAGCTCTGCGATGCGCATGGCTTTTATGGGCTTTCCTGCGGCATGCGTCAGGAGGAAGGTGAGGCATTCTTGTTGGAGGGTTGGCACGCAGAGCTTATGAGAGATGTTCATTAAACCTTCAACGTTGTTCCAGGATATGTTGCACTGCAAACTGTATGATCATTTCAGAATTATGCACGCATTCTGGAGGATAACGGCGCACTGTGGGTATACGAATTTGAGGAAATCATGGAAGGTGCTGGCCTGAATGTATGGTTTAGTGGGAGCAGCGAGTGAATGTTCCTGCAGGAAGACCCACCTTCTCCTCTTTCAAAACAATGACAGCATCCTGCTCATACGCTCTTCTGCGTCTCTTGGTAGCATGTGCGTTCCGGGATGCAAGGCCCGACGGCCGGTGACTGTCTGGTGCTGTCGACTTGCCTTTCGAGTCTCCGACGGAGCCCTGGAGTTTAGCTAGGCTCGCTCCCCTCGCGTGATTCCTCCGCTCACTATGCAAGGTCTCCGACTCGAATCCATCGCTTTCGCTAGTAGTCCTGCTGTCTAGCTCACTCTCGCTTCGAGGTGGGTTCTCGACCTCCACTGGGGACGAGGAGTCAGATGCGCTATCGCTGACGGCATCATGCTCGTCGTCTGAAGCAAAGGACATTGAGGTGGCAATATCTTTTCTGGAATTGTCACCGGGAACTGAGGGTGGCTGTGAGATGGTGATGACAGAGGACATTGATGGTGGGCGGCCTCCAGTCTCGAGCCAGCTCCCGCTCAAAGCAGCCTCGAAGAATGGAGAGGCGAAGAACAAAACTTCCTTGTGGGCCCTAATGCGAGGGGACACGAGCACCGATGAGTACACGAACGATGCCACTCCAGAGGAAAGCTTTGAACACCCACCAAAAGGTCGTATTTTCGACGACTATCTTGACCGTGCCGGGGAACCTGCCAGTACGGGTAAACGTCTCGTCTATCTCGATTGCTTGGTCAGGGTCGTAGAGGTTGAGTTCCGTGACAAGATCGTCGGACTCGCACTCTTCGAGAAGCCAGGGTGGTGAGCCCGACGAGCGGAATATGCCTGCTGCAGCTGCATGGGTCTCTGTGGGCGAGCTGAGCGAGGCAGAAGGATTGTTGTGGCCTCGCGAGTTGCGGGCGATGAGGATGTGCGATGGGTTGCTCATGTCGGTCGTTGGTAACCAGAAAGATATCGAACACAGCTTGTAACATCCCTCAGGCTATGATCGCTATGACAAGTTGCCACAGGATATGCCAACACCATAAACTGCATCGGGTCCATGCAAGACCACAAGGCGCTATAGTGTAGTGGTTATCACTCAGGATTCTGACCTCTGAAATTCCTGAAACCCAGGTTCGATCCCTGGTAGCGCCTTTCCAATTTTTGCGCACCTTTTTTCGTGCCCGTGTCTCTCCAATTCAAACCTCGGACAAGCAAAAGCGAGCGTCGCCCTCTAAATTCATGCGGTGACGTAAGGTACAATTTATGAGTGTCAGGCCTTTTCCGGTCGCATCAGTATAGAGTAAACCATTCAATTTTCCCTTGAGCCATCCAGGAGTAGGCACCCAACTTTTCATACGAATAAATCCACTCGATGGTCAAGTGTTCTCGCTTGCGATTCCGATCACGTTTCAGATTCGTGGGCATGAGTGGGTCAACGTAACGTGCAGAAAGTAAAACCCAATCACAATTAGAAAAGCGTGAAACGCGTCCTTCAAAGTACGTGGCGTGAGCGGCGTTATTACATTTCCCTTGTTTTGGGATGAAAGTGCAATCACTCGTTGAACGCTCATATACGCTGAAACTGAACAGGATATGTAATGGGATCTGTGGCAGTAGCCGACAGACCCCTGAGCATGCCCCGGTAGCATCCTCGGTGGAACGGGGTGTCATTCGTTTGCCGTGATCCATCGGATGACTCAACGTTGTCCCTTAGAGCCCGACGGATGTGCGTTCGCGGTACCGTGAGGGACGGTCGTAAGCGCAACATGGAGTGCACAGGGTGGCTTGTCTGCGGTTGCACGACCAAGTGTCCGTGTGTCAGTGTGGTTTTCCAACTTAACTACCTCTCTTGCTCCAGGCCAAGTCATTCATAGCCTTTTGTACTTCGAGCCTTTCCATTACCGCACGATGCAGGCTTGATTTATTTTTGTTCTTCCCTTTGGCCACTGGTCCCGCCGGTTCATCGGATACACCCCTGGACGTCGAGCCAGTGGCATGAGAGGCACTCGTGTCGGGTGGTGCGTCTTGTGTAGTGATGTGTGAAGGCACAATGATAGGCGTTTGTCGAGGAGGCGGAGGCCACTGTGGCAATAGTGAGTCTAGTTACAACGGGCTCCGTGAATGACTTACACCACGGTTGGGCTGGTTAAAATGTAGAGCCGCCCACGGAGGATACTCTTTCTCAAGCTGTATGATGTGATCCTCCAAGAATTGTATACGCCCAAGTAAGGTACGTGGTGGTGCAGGTACTAAAGGCGTGGTGAGGTCGCCAAATGGTGAATAATCGAGGCGCAAAAACACACCATAACGCACGGCAAGATGCGTCTCAATGCTTTTCAATCTTTCGTCGAGGGCAGGTTGCCATACACTTTCTGCATCCTCAGACAGAGCCGTAAGTTTCTCCTCTTTCTCTTGTTTCGCGTCCGCTCCTTTCATGGTCCTTCGCAGCGGCCCGTCTTCGTTTTTTGCGATATCATATTTCATCTGAGCATCCCTGTCCAGCTGCTTCGCGTCCGTGCGGGCACAGGAGGGTATAGGGTCAGTGTTTTCTGGGTCGACATTGAGTCGACGTCGCTTTTGTGCGAGAGACTCGACAAACTCGGCGCGATTTGACGCATCGTTCTTAGCGCGATTCCGTGCAAGAAACTGGGAGATCGATTTTGTGACCTACACGGGGTGTGAGGGGTGGTGTCCGCAAGGAAAATACTGAGCGAACATACAGTAGTTTGAGACTGAGGTTCAGCACCGCTACTCAGATGAACATAGTCCAGCTTCCGCTCTTCCAGAGGACGTTCTTTGGGTTCCTCTTCTTCCTTGAATTTTCCCAGTGTCTGTATAATGAGCTCGTATCAAACTTCGCAGAGACCTGAAACCACTCCGCGCACCATAAGATCTCGCACCAAATCTCCAACGGCACCAGGGACTCTTTTCCTCTCCCAATCCGCATTCATAACGACCATATCATCCTCGAAGCCCCTCAGAGCTTGTCCGAGTCCCACCTTCTTCAAAAAAGAACGTATGACTTCGTCCCAGTGTCTATACACCGGTTCAGGCGTCGGCGTACGCGGTTTCGGCTGTGGTTTCGAACGCTGACGTGCGATATGTTGAGACTGGGGCTGGTACGATTGATATTGCGCATATGGGATTTGTGAGTAGTGTGATTGCTGGTACGGGGCACTGCCAGACGTAGCGTATGGATATCCCGAGAGCTGCCAGGCGTTTTGCCAGGGCCCAGGAGGATACCCTACCGCGTAATATGTTTGTGCGGGGTTTTGTGGTTGTCCTTGAGCTTGGGCCTGAGGTTGGGCGCGCGCATAGTGGACCGTCTGTTGTTGAGGTTGAGAAGTCGGAAGGTCGGTATGTTGGACGGAAGGATAGTAACTCTGTTGTTGGAATGCTCCTTCTGAGGTGCTCGGCGTTGCCAGGAATGACTGGGAAGGCCCCGCCTGCGATGTCGGTGGTCCGCTGGTCATCGTGGTCGAGGTGTAATATAACTAAGTTATGTCACCGCGAACGGATCATTTGCTCACGGCCAGCAAACACCGAGCAGAGCTGCAGAACTTCTAGTCAAGTAACATATGTAGTAGTTTATAACATTCAGTGATCACACCTCAGACAAGATATGAACTAGGATATCCTTGACCGTATCCCTCTCCCAAACTTCCCCTTCACTGGGTCTGAACGGTTGGACCTCACCGGGTGGGCTTACCGCTCCACATACCACACTACTCAGCACTTCGTCGATAGGCGAGTCTCTGACTCGTAGCCGATGGGACACAACCCTAGGAAACATCCGTGCGATGTCCGCCTCGGACACGTCCAATTCCAGAGGTTCCTCTTCTCCCATCAAATCGCTGGCGGATCTATGGTGCCCACTCGACGCAGTCGAAGGCTCGTATATTTGTGGGACATCGATACCATCCAGCAATGCGTCCGAAGATACGCTCGCTAGACTCGAGTGCGAGCGTGTGTAACCACGTTCAGTCGAACTGCTCCCAACACCGGTCTGTCTCAGGCGGCCGTTTGCAACCTCCTTGATCAGCTCGGCGCCCGTGTTGTCAACGCCAAGAACACGGGAAGCACGTATGAGAGCTTCTGCATCCTGTCGCGCACGTACCGTAAGTAACATCCCATCCAACGGGGCAAAGTGCCGAGTGGCAGTGAATAAATCAGCGAGATAAAGATTAAGCGGGGCACGAATGCGAGTATGAGTCGCGCTCAGATCTCTCAGTTGCTGAAGGAGACCGGTGGGGATTGCAGGCGAGGTTGGTGGGGGTGGTGGGGGTGTTGGAGGTCCGGGGAGGAAATTCATGGCTGGGAACGTCGTTGCAGAGGTGTGTGTCGATAGCAACGAGCTTGACGGAGATGGAGGGGGCCTGTATTGGCGCATGGCCAGGCGAGTTTGTGCAGTCACATTGACTGTGAAACTGATCGCGAACCTGTCAAGCTGTCGTGGCAACTCGCAAATGAGCCACGTTTTACACTTTCCGAGTAGACACATACGAGACTTTTGTGTATAGGAGGTCTTTCTCGAGGATCCGATCGACATACATATATCATGATGAAATTTGCTGGCAAGTCTAGCGGCAAAATTTCTTGATCACACTCAGACCTGGTTCTGTCGGACAATACGAGTTTTTCTTCTGTAAATGTTTGCCTGACGGCCTCCTGAGCTGACGGGCTCGCATGTTCAAGTCCAGATACAACGACCGCGGAGGGCATTCTAAACACGTCCATCCTTGTATGGGGCATGTCCGCTCCAGGGTTGGTGTGCGCGCCGTCAGCATGAAGGCTAGGTCGCTCAAGCTCCGCATTTCTTATTATTTCTGGGTCACGAGCAGCGAGTTCTACTGGGTCTAGATGTGATTGCCGGAGTGTGGTAATTGATGGTCTCGACTCATTCGTATAGGACACCGAGCGCGAAAACGAGGTCTTCCTACTACGAGCCATGGAGATGGAGGGCGGAGTCCCGCTGGGCAATTTATTTCCCGAACCTTTCGAGGTTGATGTGCGCCTGTGCCTGTCCCGATGCTTGTGTGAGGTACCCAACGGTCCGTCGGTCGAGGCTGTGACGGTAGATGGAGGAAAGAAGAGGGACCGAAGAAATTCGGAAGGCGTTTGATCCTTTGCGTCGGAGTGGCACTTGAATTTGTGAACGTTATAACCAAAGACTGAGCTCAGAGCCTACGGGGATACAGTCTTAGGGTTGCGTTTACCTCATTGCCGTGAAAGCAGGAAGGAGTGGTCAAATGAAGACACGAGAACTCACTAGTGTGGTCAGTTTCATTACGAGGCCAATATCCTCGTCACGGGTGCGGATGATTGAATTCTTGTTTCCGGCGATAGCGCAGAGCAACAGGCCCTGCACTATGGGCGGCTCAAGCGGCAGCCCTGGTAGTGCAGCTCGAACATGCTCCATGAGTGATGGGAGGAAATACTGTGTGCCGGGATGCGGTAAGGGGGTATGAAAGGTGGACTGCATCCTGTGGATAAAGAATCAGCAAATTACAAGGAGTGCCAGGCAAGGAATGAGACGTTTAGACAATTTCGTAATGTACACTGTAGCACAGGTTGCTGTTGATGGTAACTGACCGAAAAGACATGGTTGTGAACATACCTTTGACAGCACTCGAGCGGGGTGGTCGATGGCTCCGACGTCTACGCACGACAACGTATGTATGTTACGGGGCGACTTTAGCCTGGGCTGGTATGCTGTGTATGTTACGACTGGGTATCTAGCCCACCGAGGCTAACGCTGAAGGTGTGATTAGTCAGCGCATATGGGACAGGGATGAGAAGGCTTCGAGGCTCGTCGACGGATTCACAGGCGATGAGCAACCCGACGACTCGTTCTCATAGTATCCTATCCTTCTTGTCCCAAGCCTTTTTAAATCCTACGATTCTCGATTTACACCGTCAAATTACCGTCAACGATTTTCCGATCTGTCGTACCGGCACGACACTACCTCGAGGCTTTGTTTGCTGCCGGCTTGTGAGCGTCTCTTTATTTTTCTCCTGTTCAGCGCCATCGGGTCTTCCAGGTTCTCACTCTTCCTCTCACCTTCTTCATCTCTCGGCCGGCTCTGTTCACTGGATGAATGGCAGGCAGCATTTCCCAATTCTACGTCGAGGATGACTCTCCCGAGATCGCC